CTTCCTTCCATCACCAGGCAGCCAGTCCTCCTAGCAGGGAGTGCTAGCACATGGCCCTCAAATTAGGAAGTTTGCCATTGCCTGATTTAAACTATAGCATTCTAAAAAGCATTTTGTTGTTTATTCGTTGCACTGTTTGGCTAGTAGTTCACTGTGTTTCTCATTGGGTTTTTGTTGTTGTTGTTGTTGTGTTGTTATTTGCCATCAAGTCAAATATGGTGACTTGGGATGAGAACCCTCCAAAATAAAATCCTCAAGTCTTGCAAACTTGGGACTCTGGCTTCCCTGATTGAATCAAGGTTGTTTAGTCCTTAATGTCATTTAGTCAAGTCACCTGCAGTTTAGTTTAGTTTTCCTGTTCATTGCCTTCCACTTTCCCAAGCATTTGGGGTCTTTATGCCGTGTTTTTACAACTCAGGATTGCGGCCAATGCTAATGCACATTCTTGGACGAGGATTCGCTCTTTGTCAGCACATTTAGTATTACCTCTTTCTTCAACGGGATTGCAGAAACGGCTACTGCGCATTCCCCGTGACACAATGGGACAATAAAGCAGGCATGTTGGCTGATATGCAGTTTGTATAAAGATAGCTAGTGCAGCTTAGTGTGCTTCTTCTATGTAATTATGACTGTGAGGATTTAACACACCGCAAATATAATGTCAGATGTATTGTCGAAAGCTTTCATGGCCAGAATCACTGGGTTGTTGGACTTTTCTGGGCTGTATGGCCATGTTCCAGAAGCATTCTCTTCTGACGTTTCACCTGCATCTATGGCAGGCATCCTCAGAGGTTGTGATGTCTGTTTATCTGTGGAATAAGCTCCATTTTCCTAGTTTCCAACAGACCTCAAAGAATAATAGAATCATAGAGCTGGAAGAGACCTCATGGGCCATCCAGTCCAACCCCATTCTGCCAAAAAGCAGGAAAATTGCATTCAAAGCACCCCCGACAGATGGCCATCCCATCTCTATTTAAAAGCCTCCAAATAAGGAGCATCCACCACACTCTGGGGCAGAGAGTTCCACTGCTGAACAGCTCTCACAGTCAGGAAGTTCTTCCTCATGCTCAGATGGAATCTCCTTTCTTGTAGTTTGAAACCATTGTTCCGCGTCCTGGTCTCCAGGGAAGCAGAAAACTAGCTTTCTCCTTCCTTCCTATGACTTCCTCTCACATATTTATACATGGCTATCATGTCTCCTCTCAGCCTTCTCTTCTTCAGGCTAAACATGGCCAGCTCTTTAAGCCACTCCTCATTGGGCTTGTTCTCCAGACCATTGATCATTTTAGTTGCCCTCCTCTGGACACATTCCAGCTCTTCAACTGTGGTGCCCAGAATTCAACCTCTGAGGATACCTGCTGTAGATGCAGTCGAAATGTCAGGAGAGAGTGCTTCTGGAACATGTCCATACAGCCCAAAAAACACACAACAATCCAATAATGTCAGATATTAACCTATGACTCTGGAAAGAATGCAAAGGTGTTGGTCTGACTATCTGTCCCTTTGTCTCTCTTTCTTGCACACACACAGTTCTACCCCTACCTGTATTTTTGGGTCAACAGAAAAGAAATCCACCTTCCCCAGACCAACTTCTCCATTCTGAATTCATATCAATGTCCCTGCAATCCCTTGATTCTCTCGCAGGTGAGAATCACCTCCATCCCTTTTCATCTCCGCCTCTTCTCAACTGCATAGGTTTTCTCCCACACGCTCCCTCTCTTCCCCCGCACACATGCGGCTAATGTGCCTGTGTGCGCACACTTTCTCCCACGCACTTTCTCTCTCTCTCTTTCTCTCTTTCTCCGATGGCATTCCCTCGCCCCCGCACACACGGCACTCCTTTGCCTGGGCACAGATGTGGCGCAGAAGGCTGCCCCTCTTCTGTTTGCAGGGCTCCCTTTCCCTCCTCCTGTCTATAAGCAGGGAGCACCCATTCTTATGAGGATGTCCTATTGTTTTAAGATCCCCTTTCCACCAGAGATGTGTTTCTTTCTCGCACTCCAGCAAGGAGGTGTGAAGACAACACATATGTTCCTTCTCTCTCTCTTCTTTCTCATCATGTTTTCATTGCATACAACTCCATTCCTGCAAGGAAGGCCTGTGGTTTCATAATAGGATTGCTATGGAGGTGTCTTTCTTTCTCATACACAAGTGGGGAGGTGTGAACCAAATACATATGCACTTTCTTACTTTCTTTCACAAGCACACATACACACAGAGAGATGTCTCTAGTGTTTCCCAATATTTTGGGAAACAATGTTTTGGGACAATACATCCAACAGGACCGGGTTGTGGCGCAACTGGGAGTCAGCTGCATGAAAAACACTACTAACTGAAGGTCATGAGTAGGCCCAGGTTGGAGTAAGCTCCCGACCATTTGTCTAGCTTGCTGTCGACCTATGCAGCCCAAAAGACAGTTGCATCTGTCAAGTAGGAAATTTAGGTACCGCTTATGCAGGGAGGCTAATTTAACTAATTTACAATGCCATAAAAATCTCCAGCAGCATGCAAAAGAAGGAGGAAGTACTCCATCTGTGTCACAAGTGGATGGTGAAGCGACAGCTCCCCCGGTGGCTGGAATTCAAGCATACCATCATGAAGCTGGAAAGTTAAATAGCCTCTGTGTGTCTGTCTATATATGTTGTGTGTCTATGGCATTGAATGTTTGCCATGTATATGTGCATTGTGATCTGCCCTGAGTCCCCTGAGAAGGGTGGAATATAAATACTGTAAATAAATAATAAATAATAATTTTACCTTGTTCACGTCAGCATATTTTCAATTTTAATCTATTACATTTGGCTCGGCCATTTTTAAAATTGTTTATGTCACTATTGATTGTTTTTTGTTTATGTGATTTATATGATTTGTATTTTATTGATTGTTTATTGATGTTGTGTTTATTGATGTTTTGTTTGATGTGCTTTGGGCTTGGCCTCATGTAAGCTGCACCGAGTCCCTTGGGGAAATGGTAGCGGGGTACAAATAAAGTTTATTATTATTATATTATAAATAAATAACAGAGTTTGGCTCCAGATTCTATCAGCCCCAGTCTGCATAGCCAACAGTAAGTGATGTTAGTGATCAAAGTCCAAGAGCATCTAGACAAGTTGGTATTGGTTTTCTTTGTTAGTGAGCCAGACAACAGATATAACAAATGGCAAACTCTTAGACACAGAAAGACATGAACATATCACGAGAAGCAATTCCAGGCTGTGAGGAGCGCCTCACTAGCCATGGTGTCTGGAAATCTCATGGCATCTAATGAGATTTGTGTGCACCTGGAAAGCTATTCAGAGCATTGGAAAGGGGGATGGAGTCAGGAAAGGGAGATAATGGGTAGAAGAAAAGCTTACCTTGATTGAGCAAAAGGGCTGCAAGTCAAGGGAAAAAAAGAGAAGAAAGACAGAGAGATTATGCTGTTTGTCAGTAAAGCGACAGAGATGTTCATGATCTAAGGGAAGAGACAAGGGGGAAATGGAATGACTGGGGAGGGTGTCATCAAAGGAAATTTGACAGGGATCTCATCCTCAAAGCACCCCCAGCTTCCAAGTGACTGCTGGGTTCTCTCAAGGACAATGAAACAAGGCGTTGAAATTGTGTATTTACCAGGAGCAGCCCTAACTGAGCTCCAAATAGTAGTGGTTTTGTGGTGCCCAAGTCAGTGGGTTGCTTAATTCATCTTGGGTGTTACTGTCCAAGGTGCTGAATCTATCTCAGGAAAAAAGATTCAGCACTCCGAGACCTCCCTTAGTCTTTTGAGGACATCCCAAAGAAGTCATGAACCATCAGTGGCTTGGGGTGAGAATTTGGTCACCCTTGAAGGCCATTGGCATACCCTTCCCACTGCTGAAAAATCACCTAAAGATATACAATCACAACCACAGAAGCCAACCATGCCACAATTATCCCTTTTGACATTATCTCAATGAAGTACAGCTCTTGAGAACCAAAATATCCTCCTTCCAAGCCTCCAAATGACATTGTGGTATTCTCCAGTTTATGGAGATTTTGGTACTGTATTTATAAAAATAATATTTGTTATATCGTTTCTTTCTATTGCATTGACCCGTGACAGATACGAGGGGCATTCACTAAAGATTTCCCCTGACCCACTTCCTGTGGACTCAGAGCGATGGAACTTGGCACAGTTGTGAGTCCTTTTCTCCATCGGTGCCACCTTGGGACACACACTTCTCCCATTTTTTAAGCAACACCTCACTTGTAGAAGTCGACATGTTGCTCTAAAAGTCACGTTGTGACTTTGGAAATCAGAGTCTCATCATCTGAAAAATGCTTGCCCTTCAAAAAATAACTTCCTTGTTGGAAAGAGGTGGAAGTCCGATGGTGTGAGGTCGGGTGAATAAGGGGGAGGTGGTTGAATTTCAAAGCCACAGGAGCATGCTTCCATTTGGGCAACAGGTAAGTTGTGAACTTGTGCATTGTCTTGCAGAAAATGGTCACCTTTGTTGAGAATGCCATGTCTCTTGGTTTTGATGGCCTCCCGCAATTTCTGCAGCAGTGAAGCACAGCATGTCCCAGTGATCATGGTCTCCTTTGCTAGGAAATCCATCAATACTACTCTGTGCTTGTCTCTAAATCCTGTGAGTGTGACCTTGCCTACCGAGAGTTGGGCACGTGCCTTCTTTGGAGGCAGTGAATTAGGATGCTTCCATTGCATCAACTGGACTTTAATCTCAGGATTACAGTGTTGGACCCAGCTTTCGTCCTGTGTGATCGGTCAGTTGAAAAAATCCTCCTGGTTTTCATGGCACATCATTGTCAATAAAGCCTGAGAGCATTCAACTCATTCCTGCTTCTGGAAAGTAATGATCAGCTGGGGGACCCAGCGAGTGAATACCTTATGCATGTGAAGATGGTCTTGGGTGATTTTTCCCATGGACCCCACACTAATCTTGACATTTTGGGCAATTACGTGGCAATTTTCCAAAATGGTGACCTTGCTGGATGGTGTATTTATCAATAGCAGAGTGGGTTCACCCTGGAATTGGAGATGTTTGCACCAAAGTCCGACCACATTTGAATTGACAGTCCCAGTTCTTGACTACACCATACGATGGGGAATCATCACCATAAACCTCTTTCATCTCATTGAACGTCTCCTTTGGTGTGTGGCCTTTCAAGTAAAGAAACTTTATGGCTGCTCTGTATTCCGCTGGATCCATTATCAAACCTCACACCACTTCAGCACCTGTAAGTTCAAAACTGTTATCATTTCTGAGTTGTAAATTGGCACGTAACCTATCAAGACTTATATCATTACACATGTGCAGTTTCAGCATCCTGTGATAAATAGAAGTGGGTGAGGGGAAATCTTTAATGAACGCCCCTCAGAAAGAAGTGTCAAAGTACATTAATTCTAGAGCACATCTAGAACCATCAAATATCCATGAGACTTGACCTGTCCCATTGGCTCCGATGGATCTACTCATCAGAGCAGAGGTCAGCAGAGATGGGTTTTTGGACTTTGTGTCCCAAAATCCCCAGCCAGCATGGCCATTGTGGAATTCTGAGGAATACAGTAAAAAGATGAGAGATCTCATCCAAGTTTCCAGCCACGACTAAGTCTGGTTTCATGCCATTGAGTGGTCTATCGGAAAATCATTATGCATTGCATAGCATTCTAGATTGTGTTCTATCAACACTTTTACCCCTTGCAAGCACACACAGAGAGTCTTTGCTAGAAAGAAGGTTCAGTGATGGTGCTTTTGTGTAAATGGTCTTCCCAGAAGTTTCCTTCATCATTACTGATGGTCTCCTTTGTTGAGTTTCTGATAACTTGCAAGATCTCCAGATCGCAGTTAGAAGCCTCTTCCACTTACCTGAGATGCCTCGTTTCAACCAGCGTGGCTGACCCAGCTCTATGAAGAAGCTGTCCTTCTTTTCGTATTCTTCAACATCTACAATTTTCACATATAGGGATTTCCTGCCAAGGAGAAGAGAAACAGGAAGAGAGAAAGCATTAAAGGTCTTTCAAAGCTTTGAAATGATTCTTTTAAAGTATTTGTTTTCGAAGTAACTACTAAGCCAGCCATGGGCAAACTTGGGCCTTCCAGGTGTTTTGGACTTCAACTCCCACCATTCGACATCGTCAGGCCCCTTCTTTCCTGAGGCTGTTAGGAATTGTGGGAGTTGGAGTCCAAAACATTTGGAGGGCCCAAGTGTGCCCATGCCTGCACTAAGCAAATATAATGTTATATACGCAGTGATACAGAATTCTGGCAATAGTTCACTTGTATTTTGACAATATTTTGCTGATGTCGTCTGTGTGCATTCAGAAGAAGACCTACAAGCCACTCTAAACACCTTCTCAGAAGCATACGAGAAGCTCGGCCTGTCATTGAACATTGAGAAAACCAAAGTGCTCTTCCAGCAGGCACCAGCCAATCCCTCTCCAATGCCAGAAATACAGCTTAATAATGTAGCATTAGAAAATGTTGACCATTTCTGCTATTCTGACAGCCACCTCTCCACAAAAGTCAACATTGACACTGAAATACAACACCGCCTGAGCTCTGCGAGTGCAGCATTCTTCCGAATGAAGCAAATAGTTTGAGGACCGGAGTATGATGGAGAGTCCTTCCTTGGAGGCTTATAAACAGAGACTGGATGGCCATCTGTCGGGGGTGCTTTGATTGCGATTTTCCTGCTTCTTGACAGAATGCGGTTGGACTGGAAGTCTCTTTCAACTTCTTCTATGATGCTAAGTATACTGGTTGCACACTCTTGGTCTAGAGCAATATTATCTATCACACAGAGTGAATATTTTATTTATTTATTTACTATATTTACTCTACCCCGAAGGGGACTCAAGGTGGCTTACAGATAGGCAATAATTCAATGCCTTAACAACAATATACAATTAAATAAACATTTAAATTAAAATTAAAATCAAAACTAAATACATTAAAAACATTTTTAAAACATTACAATCACTATAAAACCACGCTACCCGCAATCATAATCCAGGTCATAATTCTGTGGGGGTTAGTAAATGTAAATAAACAGAAGCATTACCACAATTATTAAACCAAGATGTACCCTGCAGTATAATAAAGTGTCACTCGGGCTTGTGTACCAAATGACGGTATCTTTACTTCAGTTCAAAAGTTCAAACAGGGCAACTTTGAATTCTTTGAATCCATACAAAGAATAGAGGGAATAAAATAGTCCTTTTTAACAGTCTTTAAATATGTTCTTGTAGGTTTTTTCGGGCTATAGAGCCATGTTCTAGAGGCATTTCTTCTGACGTTTCGCCTGCATCTATGGCAAGCATCCTCAGCGGTAGTGCTACCTCTGAGGATGCTTGCCACAGATGCAGGTGAAACGTCAGGAGAAATGCCTCTAGAACATGGCTCTATAGCCCGAAAAAACCTACAAGAACCTAGTGATTCCAGCCATGAAAGCCTTCGACAATACATAGTCTTTAAATATGCCTCATGTCCAAAATGAAAGTGGCAGTTAGAACCGTTGACCTCAGCAGCAAGCCAGAGACAGCAGCCAATCGGAACTCTGGCCTCTGGCATGCTCAGCCAATCAGCTGCCAAGACATGTCTTTCCGGTTAACTCATTACATCATGGGGTCCCTTTTCAAATCCTCACAAATCCAGTCCATCTATTGCACTATGGGTCAGTGTTGAGCATCAGTGTTATATAGTGTTCTGAGTGTTGGAGGCCAGAGTTCGAATCCCCACTCAACCATGGAAACTCACTTGGGCACATCATGCTTTACACCTCGGTCAAGAAATAAAAGCCAGATAGAAATACATAGCATCATGATGGCCACCATCATCATTCTCTACCCATTTCATAGGAAGGCTTTGAACAAATATTGCCAAGGAGTCCAGTGATAGGATTGAAAATCAGAAACTATTGGAAGGCACACAGCAGCAGAAAGACATTCCTTCTTCAGTTGGCCAACGCTTGCTCTCCAAGAGGGACAAAAACATTGGCACCACAAGATCCACATTTGGAAAATCCTTCCAACATTTAAATTATGAGAAGGACATGTTCCATGGAACGTTGCATCATCAGGCCACCCTCCTCTCGGTTTCACACCCTCCCTCTCCCAACATGTTCCAAAGCAAAGGCGGGCGTTGCTTTGGCAAGGTTGTGATTCTGTTGGCAGCCGGATCAGGGGAAGCATGGCCCACGAGGGGGCACGGAGTGGCAGGGTGCCTTCCTGCCTGCTCTCGGCCCTGGCCCCGGCAGATGGGGGGAAATGACGGCATCAGAAAGCCGGGGCCGCAGAAGTCAACCAAGTGAGAAAGAAGGAAGGCAGAGGAGGGAAGGAGAAGGGTGCTAGATGCCAAGAAGATTTGAGTTCGTGATTGGCATTGATTGTTTGTGAGCCTGCATCTACCAACATGAGTGTTCCCTTTCCAAAGTGGCCTCAAAGCAAGATATGTCCATGTTGCTTAACTCTCTTTTCATTGCCACCAATTAACCAGATCTGCCTTTCAGAGTGTTGGCACCATGATATGAATCACATGCTCAGAAATGTAATTTTAAGGGTACAAGTCTATCCTGCCTTGGGTTGTTGTAGGTTTTTTGTGGTGTATGGCCATGTTCTAGAGAAGTGTTTCTCAACCTTCGTAATGCCACAACTCCTTAATACAGTTCCTCATGTGGTGGTGACCCCCAACCATAAAATTGTTTTCGTTGCTACTTCACAACTGTAATTTTGCTACTGTTATGGATCATAATGTAAATATCGGATATGCAGGATGGATTTGCATTCACTGGACCAAATTGGGCACAAATACCCGATACACCCAATTTGAATACTGGTGGGGTTGGGGGGGGGGGATTGATTGTGTCATTTGTGAATTGTAGTTGCTGGGATTTATAGTTCACCTACAATCAAAGAGCATTCTGAACTCCACCAATGATAGAATTGGGCCAAACTTCCCACACAGAACTCCCATGACCAACAGAAAATACTGGAAGGGTTTGGTGGGCACTGACCTTGAGTTTTGGAGTTGTAGTTCACCTATATCCAGAGAGTACTGAGGACTCAAACAATGATGGATCTGGATCAAACTTGGCACAAATACTCAGTATGCCCAAGTGTGAACACCAATGGAGTTTGGAGAAAATGCACTTTGACATTTGTGAGTTGTAGTTGCTGGGATTTATAGTTCACCTACAATCAAAGAGCCCCCGGTGGCTCAGTGGGTTAAAGCACTGAGCTGCTGAGCTTGTTGATCGAAAGGTCGCAGGTTCGATTCCAGGGAGCGGTGTGAGCTTCCACTGTCAGCCCTAGCTTCTGCCAACCTAGCAGTTCGAAAACATGCAAATGTGAGTAGATCAATAGGTACAGCTCCGGCGGGAAGGTAACGGCGCTCCATGCAGTCATGCCGGCCACATGACCTTGGAGGTGTCTATGGACAACGCTGGCTCTTCGGCTTAGAAATGGAGATGAGCACCACACCCCAGAGTCAGACATGACTGGACTTAATGTCAGGGGACTACCTACCTACCTACAATCAAAGAGCATTTTGAACCCCACCAATGATAAAATTGGGCCAAACTTCCCTCATAGAACCTCCATGACCAATAAACAATACTGTGCTATCTGATCTTTGGTGACCCCTCTAGCACCTCTTATGTGACCCCCCCAGGGGTCCCGACCCCCAGGTTGAGAAACACTGTTTTAGAGGACCTCACAAACTTAGAGGATGCCTGCCATAGATGCAGGCGAAATGTCAGGAGAGAATGCTTCTAGTGCATGGCCAGACAGCCCCAAAACCTACAATAATCCAGTCAATCAGAGAGACCACCTAGAAAGAAAACATGTCATTTCCAAAGTTCAGACTTGATTCAGCACCATGAACATGAACAGCATTGTTCTGGATCATTCAGTACCTGAATCAGGTCATTTCTAACATCTCATGCTAGTTGTGAGCAAATTACTTGTGCTATTGTGTAGGTTTCAAGAGTCACTGGTATATTATCAGAGAGACATGATGACTCTGCCATTACACAAAGTTGTAAAAAAGAAGTGCTCCGAACCCTTTTTGAGGCACAATGGCTTCCTAAACCCAGCTCTGATTGTATTTCAAGATACTGTCCTATTAGAGCACAGATAATAGGCATCACGCCTTCAAGTTCCTTCCAATTTATGGTGACCCTGAAACCTTATCATGGGTTTTTCTGGAGTGTGTGACTCACCCAATGGGTTTTCATAGCCAAGTGGAGAATCTAACCACTACACCACACTGGTCTACCAGAGTATAACATATTTTGCAAATTTGCTTTGAAACACACAAGCTAATTACAAATCTAGCTTCAAATAGAAAATGCTTTCACTTTGTCACCTAAATGCTAAAGCCATTCCTGAGAAAGCATTTTGTCACGAGTAAGATGACTGCTTAGCATTTATAGCAAGTTTTTCATAGAGAGTACAATGCATTAGACTGAGATTTAAGAGACTGTTGTTGTTGTTGCCTTTAAGTCACTTCCAACTTACGGCGATCTTAAGACAAACCTTAGGGTTTTCTTAGCAAGGGTTTTTCAAGAAATAATTTTCTTTTGCCTTTCTCAGGGGATGAGAGTCTGTGACTTGCTCAAGATAAACCTTTGTGCCGGCAGGACTGCTGACCGAAAGATCAGACTGCAGGGTGAGCTCCCATCTGTCAGCTCCAGCTTCTCATGTGGGGACATGAGGGAAGCCTGCCACAGGATGCTAGGTTCATTGAAATTGTGTATTTACCAAGACTGGCGCAATGGATCAAGTCCTTATGCCGGCAGGACTGCTGACCAACAGGTCAGCGGTTCAAATCCAGGGAGAGTGGGTTGAACTCCTTCTGTCAGCTCCAGCTCCCCATGTAGGGACATGAGAGATGCCTCCCACAAGGATGGTAAAACATCAAACATCCAGGCGTTCCCTGGGCAACATCCTTGCAGATGGCCAATTCTCTCTCA